TGCGAGTTCCCATTCAAAGAGAATGCCTCGGTACAAATGTAGCCCTGGTGAAGCGGAACGAGCGTCTCGTTGCCATGCCTTTGGCCTGCCTGTTTACTTTTCCTTCAGACAAAGTTGATGCCGTGTACTACAGGCGCCCTTTTATACTTACAGTCACACTGGTAGTGACATCATGGACTGTAGTCGGCCAATGACATTGTCGAGACATTACCTTCTTTCCAAACTGGTGTATGTGATGACTGTGTGTGGTTTCATCTGATGTGTGAATGGCCAGAGCTACGTTAATTATGTCTCTATTTGTTTCTCTGTTTTTGCCACGGGATTGACACAAGCTTCAGTCTGGATCCAGAACACCTGAGAAGAGATGATCCAAACCCCTCAGAGGACCTCAGATGATGCCAACCCTGAAACAACATACAGAACTACCAAATGTTGCTGTAAGTTTGATTGCATCATATAATAATTGCTGCTAATAGTGTTCATCGTCTGTTTGATTACGTCTTTAATTGATTTTCCATACATTTCTGCCATATGTACATTAACTGACAGTCACCACTGATAAGCTACTACTATATATTGTAGAAACATAATTTTCTGTAACATTGCTTTGCAATGATTTGTATCGTGAAAAGCGCTATACAAATAAACTTGAATTTAATTTAATTGAAAAGTACAGGAACTTGCTTCTGCCAATACATAAGCCGATATGGTGCTGTGAGTATTTAAGACATACTGCTGCTGCACAAATAGCATATAAAATAACCTGCCAACAAAGCTGGAACGAGAAGATAAACAACAGCTAAAATGTGTATGCTGCTGACAGCATAAAAACGTACTGCTGATATACACTAATGTGCATAAAAGCATAAGGCAGGAGAGAGATGAAATAATAAATAAAATAATAAAATCCCCCAAAAAAGCAGATTTCGGCCTGCTTTGCCGAATGGCTTAATGAATAGAGGACTATAGCTGTGTGTACCTGATCAGTTGGCCAGATAGCGCAAAACTAGTGACTTAAAGGGGTCATATTATGCAACTTCATGTTTCCCTTTGTCTTTTATAAGTGTTGTGCAAGTTACTTCCAAACTGTAATACATTATAGATTACATGTTACTGCTATTTAAAAGTAATTCCTTAACTTTCAAAATTACTGTCTCTGAATTGTAATGCGTTACATGACTCCTACTTTTGAGTTACTTTCACCAAAATAACTACAGAAGTAGAACTTATTCTAAAATGACAAAATGTACTGCAGAGCATTTTACATCCAGTAGAGGGCGATATGGTGTATTATAATGACTGTGGGCTATCCAGGCTACTAACAACAACATAGCTTATAACTGGCAAAGTGAAGGCTCAAGACAATGCAAGAAAGGATGACAGCCAGAATCACAAACGATCCAAGTCTTGGGTCTATTCATATTAGACACAACAGGACTATATGTAAACTCTAATGCCATGACAAGATGCGCATATGTCCATCTCGCGAATGTACAGTCTTCTGCCATCTTCCATTAGCCGCTTTTCCACTGGCCAGTGCGAGCCGGGGCTTACAGCGAGCCGGGCGAGGCTAATAGCCTCGGACCTCGAGCACAGAGGCCGAAATCATGGCGCGTTTCCACTAGGGATGGGCGGATCGATCCTTAAGTATCGATACTTTCGATACTGATGTTGTATCGAAAGGATCGATCCTCACATAAAAATATCGATTCTGAAGTGCATTTTTTTAATCATTCATTTTATTTACTTATCAAGAAATTCGGTGCATAAAATAAGCTTCTAAGTGGAAAAATAGACTATATTAGCGAATAATTGTGTTGGAT